TTCTCTTAAACACAGGAGGGATTCTCACTTTGATGGGACATCCGAGGCATTTCATATATAGGTTAGAGATCTGATTCATCCTGTATTTCAGTCACCACTAGGAAAAAGTTGATAGATTTTAATGCAATGAAGGCAAACCTCTCTTTAGCTATAACTTAGCTACACAGCTGCTCAGTTAAACTTGCTAAAGCAATTAGTATAGCCCATAGCCCCAGAATTTCACAGGAAAAGGGTGATTGTTGGGGTTTTTGCATGTCAAATATCTGGTCGGGTCATTGCACATAGTTGTAAGAATTCATGTCTGTCCATTATTTGCACAGTTTGTAACTGTCTCTGGATATGTGATGTCTTCTGTGTCCATCTTTGAAATCCCATCTGTAACACAGTAATGTAACTTAGGTACAATTCTTTTAACAATCTTGCATGTATATAGCTATTTATAGATATACTTGCATATGTATGGTTTATTATTAATGCAGTGCTGTGGAATTCTCCATATCTGCACTTATTTCATGGGCTGCTGACCCTTGGTTGACTTCTTTAGTACATTTCAATAGACATAATATGAAGCACTTCCTAGTGCAATTTTTCTTCACAGAAATATTACCAGAGTTTCATTAAGAGGATGGTAGGGTTTAGAATCTGGTGTCAGTAGCTGATACTAACCTAGTCTGTTTTCTGAAAGCCTACAATAAAATTCCTGGGACAAGTATCCCAGAACATCCAGGGATGGGTGTGCAATACAGAAATGCTGTAATCTCTCCTGTTTATCTCATGAACTCGGTTTTACCCTAGCTGGGAATTTACTTGGTCCCACAGAACACGAAGTCTCACCATTGAATTCATGAAGAACTAGACCGGACCCTAAATGAGGAAAACCTATGTCTGTTTTCTCCTCCTATGTCTCAATCTTTTATTCTCTCTTCTATACATGTATAACAAACAAAAGCCTCTAACCTGTTTCACTAAAGAAGGTGAAACATTTATATTCAAACAAAATAAAGCCAGAAGGATGTCAACCTGTTCCATCCTCTTCCCCTACAAGAAAGGTATTCTTTAGATGTGGATGAAAAGAATTCTTCCTCACATTTAACCTTAACATTTCATGTACACCTTTTCCTATGGTTCTACATAGCAGCAGCCATGTCCTACCCTATTAGATATAATGCAGGACAAGCACTGAGCCCACTTTGGAGTTTCTGAGTGTTTCTGACTTCTCTAGTGTAAACCAAACTAAAATCCACCTCACCACATCCATGATTCATTCATCTCAGTTGATCTCTTTGTTATTCAGATTTTCCTCAAGAAAGATGAAAAAACTTATATATTTCTTCAAAGTCAATGGTCTCTGAAACTGAACTATTTATGGGAACGGTCAATCCAGCTTCCCCATGTAAAAATATAGGTATTTTTCATTATATAAAAAAAACCCTAATTTAAAAAAAAAATAAATTATAGAATCTCATTGCAACTTATACATACCTAGTGAAATGGTTCAAAACCCCTATGTAAATAGTTTTTGAAATTCACACAGGCTCAGGAAGCACAAGACAAGCCTATGTAAAAATTAAATAATATAATTAATTTATATAAATTTTAAAATACCATGGAACCAATAGTGTATTAAATTCTATTGCAGTTCTCCATAACAGCTTAGTGAACATAGATTTTTGTTTGCATGTATGATGACACACAACATTGTCCACCAGTACAAAACAGGGCACAGAATGACTAGAACAAACATTAACTCAATTTTCATATTTAATGTCTGATTCTTCCATAGATGTCAATGGCAAGACTAATTCATTTCAACAAGACAGGAGCAAGACCTAAGTGGCCCTTAATGTGCCCTTCAGCTTCATGTTCACTCAGTTCTGTTCACTTAACACACTTTTCCATTGCTGTGACAATTTTAAAGCATTTATTCTGTAAATGAATAGCCAGCTTTCATGCAAACACTCAGTTAGCATTAATCATATGACTCTCACGTGACACATTGACAAAAAAGCGCACTTCTGATATTTCTCTTGTCCATGACAAATAAGTAGTTGCTAAGAAATTAAAAATAACAATTGAAAAGGAAGGCTAGAACAACTGATCTCTTGACACCATTTCATTTCTCTTCTGAAATATGAAAAGCCATATTCTATTCAATGTAAATATGGAGGATGGCATTTCTGTTGATCAAAATAAGAGTCTTTGCCTACTGTATCACTGATCCCATTGCATAAATTAACATTTGCATTTCCTTACATAAATATATAGGAAAATTCTGAAGAAATGCAACTTACTGGAGTACAAAATGTGCAACTGCATAAAATAATCAAATGAACCGAGTCACTGGCATTGACTATTATAAATAGATCCTTTCTTGGTCTTACCTAAAGAATTCTAAGGTATTAAAACCTTACAGCTATCAAAACATGCACCTTCACTAGAGTTTGACTAAACACTGCTATGCAGCCACTGGAAATAACTTGCATTAGGGCTTCTGCACAACAGGAAATTGTGCTGAGCCTGAACCAAAGCCCAGTGAATACAGTGCGAGTTTTTTCCTTCAACTTTAATTGGCACTGGATCAAGCCCTTTGCACACAATCTCCCATTTCTTCAACATTAAAGCAATGCTTATGACTGTCAAACAGCATTTTTCCCTTCAATATCTATTCAAAAGGAGATTTTGCAAACCATCCCAGGACTCTGCAAAATGAAAATCAGACTTGGATTTGTGTGTCAAATAATAATCTTCAGAAGCTTGTTATATTGCAGATGGAGATTTTAGCTGCCATGTTGTCCTTCTAAAAATAACATGCAGTTTTCCAGTGAGCATGCAGTCAACTAGCAATATCAGTGTGCATTTATATCGCAGAGAATCACTTGATAAATCTATCTTTATAGGTTTCTATAATCAAGTAGGAAAACCTGTTCCTTTTATACACAGGGAAAAATATTTTAAAAATCTTTAAAAACATGACACATCTCAAAGTCTTTTTATGTTTCACAGTGGAAGGAAAAAAGACCACAGATGAAAGTGATAATGAATACACTATCTAAGAATTAATCGACATTTTTTTAAGTGACAATGCTGGCAAACCACAAGAATGAAACGTTAAGGTATTTACTGTAAGCCAAGAGGAAAAGATTTATATGCATTATCTCCAAGCCAAAATACAATGAAATCCATTTTTAGGCTTGAAATAAAATACAATCAAAAGGCTGTTTGTGACTCTGAGCCCCTGTCTCCTTCTTATGTTTTAAACTATTGCCAAATTTTCCAGCACCATTTTGGCCCTTTTCTTTAAAGGGCAGATAATATTTAGTTAGGAATGCACTTGTGTGGCTTTTTAGTCCTGATCCAACTCCTACTGTTGCCAGTGGGATATATTCTGTTGAGTTCAGTGGGAATTAAATAAGGTCCTTAAGAAAAACTTAGTCACCTATATTAAAACAATTGCTGTTAACAGAGATTTATTCGTGGCTGCCCCAGTGGCTTACCAGTAAGTTCATGGGACACGAACAGTGTATTTCTTGAACCAGCTGTAAGGCAGAAAAGCTGAGGTTACTGTTCGGGTTCCCTGATTTACAGTTGCAATTGTTTCATTTATAGGTAAATGTACTCTGGCTATTCCCGGAGTGACCTTGGCGGCCAACTGAGTTGCCCTCAGTGTCAGCAGAAAGAAGGCTGTTGGTGTCAGTGGGCTTTGGATCAGGCTTTAAAGACAGCGAAAGCTTGCTTAAGGAGGAAAACAGACATAACAAATAGTCCTGATTTCCCAGGTTTTGTCACTTAGAGTTTAGAATATCAACAAGACACTTTAAACCCTGAAGAATAATTGTTGTAAGTCAATTATTTTGACCCTGTATGTTTCTACAATTGCATACAAGAATAAAGAAGAAGAAATCTCTTCTGGCTTACAAAAAAAAAAAAAAAAAAAAAAAAAAAAGGCAAGTACTTTATTTATCAAGAGAGATTTTAGCTGCTTTTTACACCGTTGCAATGACTAAACAAATAGCATAAAATAAACAAAGGAGAGTACAAAATCACTTTATTCCAGCTGGTATCCCAAGACAGCCTTTTGACTAAGTACAGAATTAGATGTTTCAAGTATGGCACTTATATAAATAAGAGCAGAGAGAAGGTGATATATTCACAGTTAAAAGCAATGTACTCTGTTCCTTTGGTATATGTGTCATCATAAGTAACTGTAGGTAAATACATAACTTGGCTGGCATGAACCAACTCCATCTTAATCATGCACATATTAGGGAATGAACTGAAGTGTATGATATATTTTGCAGATCACAACTGATGTAAGATGATTAAGGTCTCTGGTGTGTGTGTGTGTGGACAGGCAAACAAAAAAAATGGCAAAATTATATTCAGCATTTATTGTTCAGCATAACTAATTGATGCACAAACTGTGGTAGAAAATAGCTAGTAGTACACACCAGGAATGAACTCTGTGATTTAGACAAGCAAAATAATATAAGACATCTGTGAGATAGGTGAACGCAGATATCCTGATTGAGCTGTGGTCAGGTTCCTTACAGTGCAATTACCCTCCTTCTAAAACATGCTTACATCTGCACATTGCAACAGTTCCCCCCCCCCTCCTCATCCCCTCCCCATATAGAGTATCCTTTCAGATTTTTAATATGAACATTCTACACGTCTACAACAATTAGTCAGACAGTCCAAACTGTAAACTTAACCTAATGACGACCAAAAAGCCGCTCCACCGACAGGTAACACCCAATCATTAGAAAGAAAAGTAGGAATAATAGTAGCTGTGCTGTAAGGCTAGATCAAGCATGGTTTTATAGCTGTTTTTTCAGTCTTTTACATAGCACTGCATTTTGCAGCTAGTTCGGTAAGTGCAGATCCAATACCTTAATGGCTTTCTTGGTGGTTTGATAAAATGCTTGCCTAAGCAATGTACCTTTCTCTAATGGTGTCTGGGTCTGTTCCACCTGGCACAGTGCTTCAGTTCTGTCAGAGCCTCACACATAAGCTGAGTCACTTGACTGAGTCCTGCCAAAGTTAGGCATGCTCATTCTTGGCAGGTCCTTATTTCTGATTTCGTATATGGATTTCCTTTTTGCCTGTACTCCTCTCACTGCCATTTTGATCTTTCTCCAGCCCAAGTGGTTCAGTTCTGCCAAATTGAGCACCACACAAATCCCACTGACAGCAAACATGAATACCAAGAATACAGTCTTCTCAGTGGGTCTAGAGACATAGCACTCTACTTCTTTAATGCAAGGGTATCTGTCACATTCGTACATGGAAGGGACATTGAATCCATACAGAAAATACTGTCCCACTAAGAATCCAATCTCTAGGGCATTTCGAAAGACCACTTGGATGATATAAAATCGAGAAATGCCTTCTTGCCTCCGCATCTTTGACTTTGTAGTTCTGATGGCAGGATTGGGGATTTCCTTCACTTCTAAGCAGTCCGGTTCTGCCTCTTTGGTGGAGTTCTCGGTGTTCTGCAGCACCCCATTGACAATCGTGTTCTTGATTTTCTTACTGTCCTCACGCTTCATTGAATCCTGGTCCCTCTCCAAGGTGAGGAAGACAGTGGAGTACCTCCGTTCCCTCTGCTTAGCAGACTGGTGAACGGAGTACGTTATGAAGCAAAGGCTGGGAGTGCACACCATGATGATCTGGAACACCCAGTACCTTATGTGAGAGATGGGGAAAGCCTGGTCGTAACAAGCCTGGTTGCAGCCTGGCTGCAGCGTGTTACAGACAAACATGGTTTGCTCGTCATCGTACACCGTCTCCCCTACAATGGCCACAATGAGTATCCTGAAGATCACCACCACGGTCAGCAGGATCCTGCAAGAGAGAAGCCCGTCAGCCCGCGCCGCCGCC